TCTACTAGGTTAAAAGTCTCACATGTCTTCTATAGGTATTTAAAAAACCCAAATATAAAGGAAATAAAAAAATGGTTGGCCCAATCCCTCATTATTTTTCCCCAAAACCCTACCCATCCCTAAAATCTTGTTGATCGCCACTGCTTGTCATCTCTCCATCTCCGACCATCGACGATGATGATCGTATAACCGTGTCTATCTCATTACCCATAACAAGAAAATATACGCAGCACCCCAAAACCATTCGGCCCAGACTTTCGATCATAGTGAGCTCGTCGCCGTCTCATCTCTTGCAGTCACACCGGAGTCTTCACTGGAAACCAGCATTATTCTTGATCTCTGATTGGGTGTAAGCATCAATTGGTTTGATTCGGTGTAAGCATCGAGTGGTGTAATCCAAAATTAATTTTTCCTGCATCAATTCGTGATCTCTAATTCTGTTTTTGTTGAAACAACACTAACTTGTTTATTTTAGATTGATTATTTGTTGTTGATTCCATGGTACAATGGTAGCAAAAAATTCTGGAATTTGTGATGGTTGTAGAGGGAAGGGAAGGAAAAAATTCTCGAATTAGTGTAGGAGGAAACGCCAATGCCTGGATTGTAAGATTGGATTCTAGAAGTGTTTTCAGTTCAAGAGGGAGACTGAGAACAAAGGGAAACTATTCAAGTGCTACAGCGAGAAATGCGACTTCTGGGAGTGGGTTAAAGACCGCAAGTCAAGTGGAGGCAGTGCCCGAAATGGCAAAAGTGTTCCAGTCTGCAGTTAAAGGATGACGAAGAGGTCCAAATCTCGTTACACGTGAACATGACAATCACGAAGGGGAAATTAATAGAGGAAGGGAATGCTAAGGGGAAGGGTCGGCTTGAGTAGTTTTCAGTTCAAGAGGGAGACTGAGAACAAAGGAAAACTATTCAAGTGCTGTAGCGAGAAATGCGACTTCTGGGAGTGGGTTAAAGACCGCGAGTCAAGTGAAGGCAGTGCCCGAAATGGCACAAGTATTACAGTCTGCAGTTAAAGGATGATGAAGAGGTCCAAATCTCGTTGCACATGAACATGACAATCACAAAGGGGAAATCAATGGAGGAAGGGAATGCTAAGGGGAAGGGTCGGCTTGAGTAGTTGCTCGTAGTAGTTCGCAGTTTGTTTTTATGTTTGAATATATCGGTATGGCTTGTAGTAAAATCAGTGGATGCACAAATATGACTTTTGTCTACCACTTGTGTTGTCCTTTTTGTTGTCATGTGCAATGTTCATAAATGAAAAGTTTGGTTTATGAAGCATCTACTTTGAATGAATGATTATTAGTGAACATGAGTATTTTACAGAAAACCAACAAAATGGAAACATATGCATTTTCACTGTTGGACAAAAAAATATAAGTCTTACAGTGAACCAACAAAATGGAATGTATATATTTTCACTTCTGGACAAGAAAATATAAGTTTTGTAGTAAACATTGGTAAAAATGAGTATTTATAGTGAACCAGCAAAATGAAACATATGTATTTTCACTGCTGAACAAAAAAAAACGTAAGTTTTGCAGTGAACCAACAAAATGAAAACATATTTAATTTCCCTTAATGATAACCAGCCACTGCATCAACTTCTTCATGCAGCTAAAATCATCAGTCACAATCCTCTGCCAAATTCATCCTGAAACTGTGGGGTAATAGTAGGCTGCCACAAGATCCATTTTGTAATAAGCATGTTACTATGTGCACATGCAAAAAAAGTTAGCGAGAATTCTATATGTAACCATTTCACGTACCTTGCGAATTGAATACCAAAGTTGACAATGGCGGAGTCAAATTTGAAGCCGGTAATTGTTGCGTCAATTATTAACTTCCACTTCCACCCTATATCGAAGAATTACTTAGTATTAGTATGACATGAAAGAAGTCCAACAATCGAACTTAAAATACTAACCACTAAGAGTTCAGAATAGGAAAATGTTGTCGACATTGAATATTGTTCTTCAAGGATGCGGCTTGCATATGATTAGGATCGCCTGACAATTTAGAACGCCATGCTATTGGTCTATTCCCTTTCGTTGATGTCGATGTAGCCTGCACGTGAAGCAAAAAATTCTTACACTTTCAATTCTGAAGCAATAATCATACATGTGATTTAAACAAGGGAACATACCTTAGCTATCTTTGGTTTTGACTCAAGTAGGCTTTTCCTTCAGAGTTTCTTAGGGGCACCTTTTGTTTTGGAGGAAATTGGATCACGTATGCTCTGGTTTGCAATACCTGCTGATTGAAATTGAGTAGTATGCTGTGGGATGACATTGCTTCCATTGATCGACCATGTCAACATCAAATCACTACGTTGTGCTTCGATCCAATCCATTATCACACGACATCTTTTTTTGTCATCTGCAGCAAGGTCTGCTATCTCAGCGAAAGATTGACACAAATTGTCGTATCTCAACTGTCCAGAAGTACTCACCAACCCATCGTAGCTTACTGCAACCCTGATATGTGCTCTAATAACATCTCTCCTCCATCGTTGCAGTATATACCTCTCTAGTAGTACTATGGTGTCAGTGTGGGTGAGGACTACAATTGCATGCCTACAAATGATTCCCCAAAATTCGAACAAATTGCAGCTACAAGAAAATTCACAATTCTCTTTCCCTAATGAAACAGAAAATGACTTTTTCTTCCTTCCTTCACCAAATACAACAACCTCCTGTACCTCGTATGTCATCTCGAAACATGTCTCGGATATAGATATGACGTCACAATACATCTTTGCGTGAATTCAGCTTGAACATCTTTCAATTTTGCGATGGTGTAGAAAAATTGGAATTGCTTCTCTATTTTGAACGTCGTTGCACATGGTAACATTTGCGAATATGATTTAAAATCCGCTTGGAACTCCTTCTTAACCTTATTGTTCAGGGCTCGTTCATACTATTTCACAAACTATTTTAGAGACGTCTTCAAGTATACATATCCATCAAAAAATGCATTGATACTCTCGTTCCTTTGAGTTGTTGACATCCCTACCCAGGAACTAGTGTTCAAAAAGCAAGGAACCCAACGACTTCTGTTCTTGTATAGTCCTGATAACCAATCATTGTCATGTAATTCATAGGCATCAAGTATCACGCTCCATCCTACCTCAAATTCTTCAATATATTGCGAATCATAAACCAATCTATATATGGCAAAAAAATTCGACCCTTAGTTATATGGTAGCCAAACTTTTCTGGCAACTTCTTCAAAATGTGCCATAGACACCATCTATGTCACGTATTTGGAAAAACAATTCGAATTGCATTTTGCATAGCTCTATCTTAATCGGTTATTATTCCAGCAGGAGCTTTACCAGGCATGCTCTTAAGCCACGTACTGAACAACCACACAAATGTATCTATATCTTCATTTGACACCAAACCACATCCAAGCAATATTGATTGTCGATGATGATCGACGCCAACGAATGGGGCAAAGGGCATGTCGTATTTGTTAGTGAGGTAAGTGGCGTCAAATGTAACCACATCCCCGAACTCTTTATATGTTTGTCTGTACCTATTATCTGTCCAGAATACATTTTTCATTCGCGATTCATCTTTCAAATCCATACTAAAGAAAAATCCCGAACAACGTGCTTGCATATTTGAGAAATAAGATTGTAATGCTGTAATATCTCCTTCTCCAAGTCTTAGTCGTCATACTGTTTTCGATATAGTTCCGACAATCTTTTTCAATGCAAGTTATCTTCTCGTATCCAACTGCTTCAACAACTACAGAGTTGTAGCTTTTATGCAACGGAATTCCTGCCATATCATTCACTTTAAGCTTCCGTTTCACATGTGTACTCAACTCTCTATTGCATCGATACAACCTGGATTTCGAAGGACTTGTTTTGTAATTGTGTTCGAGGATAGCTGTGCTAATTCTCCACGATCCATGAGTATCTGAAGATGCTGAGATCCTAGCCTTACAATCTATCTAGATTGCCGGTTGCGGTTTTAAAGAACAGCTTTTACTACTCCTATTTTTTCCTTCACGGCTACAAGTGAAGGTCACAAATCCCAATGCACCATCATTCCCTTTTTTTGAATTCCTTTTCCTAACTGGAAAACCTACGCTATATACATATATTTTGTAGAACTCCCACATCTCTTTTTCACTGCTAAAAATCATACCCACCTCGGACACAATCGGATCATCTTCTTCTAACATTTTGTTGTCCACTTTGTTCATATTCTCTGTCACATTCTCATTCCCAGATTCCACCGAACAATCATCATTAACGTTTTCCATAAGTTATTCTGCAACGACACATGAAAAGGTAACAATCAGCCAATCATAACAAGCTCAAAAGTTCACTATGTATTACTTTTTATTGAATAACTAACGTTTTGCGTGGTTTAAAAAATTCCAATAATACTACTCAATGTTTTATTTTAGAAAAATATCGTATAAATCATATTGCAATGCTACATTAAATTACCCTTATTTTATCATCTGCAAATTTTCACTGTGTTTTAACACGGTACGAGGCAGAAGTCTGAAAAATAGAGAAACTCGTTGATTTTAATTGAATGTCGAGAGATAATCCAAGAACCCAAAATCATGTAGCCCTTATTTACAGGTATTAATAATTGATTTTTATCAACAAAATCGATGACTTGGATCAAGAAATTGAGACGAAACTCAAAATATTACTTTGTATAATGAAAATCCAAAGAAACAATGCAGTGGCTGCAGTTGTGAAGAATTAAGAAAATAAACCTAATTCACTAAGTAAATAAACAAGAAATTACCTACATAGATAATGCCGTTGGCCGGAGTTGCGGAGTCGACTACGGGCTTCTTCCTGGTTGATTTTTCAAGGTTGGCTTTGGTTTGGAAATGGCAATGATGAGTTTTTGGTCGTATTCTATTTTGGGGGAAAAACAAGTAAGAAGTGGTGAATTTCCCTCAATTTTCTAAGAATTCTAATGTTGCCTTATTTAATGACATGTATCCTATTTTTTTATTACCTGTAAGAAGTCTGTGAAGAGGAACCTGGTAAACCAGCATTATTCTATAACACGATAGATAGACAAATAAGTTAGTTATCACCCTCTCAACTAATTTTTTAAATGAAATTA